ATGTAAATTAGGCAAAAAGGTCTCAACAAGTAGCTCACTATGCCGCAACCAAAAGAAACTGCATTTGTGTATCTATATTGACTTTGAAAAATGAGGAAACAATGAAAGTGGAAAACCTGCTAATTTAATCTGCTTTTTTATCTAGTGATAAGTCTTTTCCTACACTGAAAGGTGGATGTATGTCTCTGAGGTACATATTCTTTGTCTACTTCATTGTACTACTAACGTTACAATGAGGAACAGTCAAAACCGTAGCCATTCCAGAATCAGTTCACTTAAATACAGGATATTAGTATTAGCATACATAACCCTGTTATTACCAATACTAAGAATAGGCCCAAGAGTTGCAGCCACTTTTGACTGGGGTTTAATTAAAAGATTGGTATTATGACAGTAAAAGTGAAAGAGGTCAGGGTTTTATTTCTGATCTTTTAGCACCATCTGCTGGTTGAAAGACCACTGTGCACTCACTGAATCTCCTAAAGTTACTATTAAACTAAAGTCATATTTTTAATGAGGCATCCTTGGTGAAAATGAGAAATGAGGACAATGTTTATCAGTTAGATGCCTTCAGTGAGGTATTATCTGAAAACTTCATACACATTTTACTCAACGACTGATGTCGCAATTACTGGCAAACTTAACTTCTTGTGAACAAAATCTAATTGACATCTGCTATCTTCCTTTTTATATTTTACCTCTTTAAAGTCAACGTGAATCAGAAATCATAATGCATTTCCTTCCATACCTTGATGTACATTTATATGGCCAAAAGTATGTGGACACCCCTCCTAATTAAGTTCAGGTGTTTCAGCCGCATCCATTAAAAAAAGTGTATAAAATCAAGAACATAGACAAACAATGGCAGTAGAATGGGTCGTACTGGTTACTGGCTAACTTTAAACAAGGTACTGTTATAGGATACCACCTTTGCCACAAGTCAGTTTGTGATGTTTCTGCCCTGCTTCTGACCAGTCAGCAGGGCTATTATAGTAAAATGTGAGTGTCTAGGATTAACAGCTCCACTACCAAGTGCAAACACACAGTGGGGCTGCAGAGTGCTGAAGCAAGTAGCATGTATCACTTATCCTCTGTAGCATCACTCACTACGGAGTTCTAAACTACCCCTGGAAGCAGCATGGAACTGCGCAAGAGTGATGAATCAGTTTCACTATCTGTCAGTCTGATGGATCTGGGTTTGGTGGATGCCAGGAGAATGTTACCTACCAGAATGCATAATGCCAACAGTAAAGTTTGGTGGAGGAGGGATGATGGATGGGGGCTGTTTTTCAGGGTTTGGGCAAAAGTAGTTCCAGTGAAGGGTGATGTTGATGCTACAGCATACAACTTTCAGATGATTATACACTTCAAACTTTGTGGCAATAGTATGGGGCCCTTTCCTACTCCAGCATGGCTGAACCCCTGTGCACAAAGTGAGATCCATAGAGAGTTTGGTGTGGAGGAACTCCAGTGGTCTGCACAGATCCCTGACCTCAACCCCACTGAACAGCTCTGGGATGAACTGGTGCATCAATTGCGATCCAGGCCTTGTAGTCCAACCTCATAAATACTCTTGACAGAATGGGCACAAATTCCCACAGACACAATCCAAAACCTTGTGGGGAGGAGGAGGAGGAGGAGGAGGAGGAGGAGGAGGGCACTCCATATAAATGCCAATGGTTTTAGAATGGGATGTCCTGCAAGCTCCTATTGGTGTGATGGTCTGGTCCACTAACATTTGGCCATAAAGTGCATTTCTGAGTAAAGCTCAGTATTAGGGAGAGTCTCTGAGCTAGATGTGATTTTTGCTCGTTTCACTTTATGGTCAGCTGGGGTGGAAAAAGCAGAAGGTGAGATATTATTGGTTAATATTGTTTTTCCCCACCCACTGGTACATAGTGACGATCAAAACCCAAGACGTTTTCCTTGTATGGGAAAACAAGTTTTGCTATTTAAATTGTACTGATGGTGAATCCTCCTTAACATGACGAGGGACATGAACTAACAAAGGTAAGAAAAGGCCAATTTTAATTTCAGGTTGACAAAGTTTCTGATTCTTGGAAGATTTTAGAAACTGCAGTGGTCATCTATGACCTTTTCTTTCTCTGGTATAAATGTGAGGAGAAACACAGGCAAAGAACCCTTAGTCATCCATTAACATGGGGAGGATTAGAGAATAAACAAATAAAACAAACATGCTGACCTTCATTAAACAGTTCCAGAAGTTGGTTGTACTACATAACACCTCCAAGCCAATGACTATTTGGAATGTTCGCCAGAAGAAAGTCTGTCATCAAACCAGAGTTCACAAAACATTAGCTTAGTTCTGATCAGACATGCATTTCTGGTGAAAACAGTCTTTTGTAAAATGATTCGGTCATGCAGAAAACTTATTTGCTATGAAGCTTTGTCAGGTTAGGATACACAACAATGTAGATTACATTAAGTACTGGATAATCCACACTTTGGTTCTCATTCCTCCAACCAAAGTGGTTGCTGGCTTTTGGCCTACCCAAAACTCACACTGTCTAGGCTAATATATAAATAGACATAAAGCACATTCTATTAGCTAAAATTTCAATATAAGTTATTGTGACAGAGTCAGACGCTTGCAAATAAAACCAAACTAAGGCTTTTACTGGAATCAGAAAAATCTAGAGACATAGTCAAAAAACACAGGTGAAGGTCAGAACCAGGATGAGAGGATTAACAAAGCAGGTCACATTAAGTTCAAAAATACAGCAAACACAGTCCAAAGGGAAGAGACCGAATGCAGAGGAGAACTGCTCAGTAGCTCAAAGACAGCAGCAGCACCTCAAAGAAATAAGGCCAGCTACAGTTAATAAGGGGCAAGAAGCAGGTGCAGCACATCAGTATTCAGGCAAGCGAGACTTGTGATAGGCCGATGACCAAGAGGTCTGAGTCGCATGGTCTCCCAGGGAGTTCTGGGAGATGGAGTACATGAGAATCTGTGTTCAGTAACATTTATTTGCTCTTTACTGTCACCAATCTAGCAATTTAAATTTTAAAAGTAAAATAAAGTGAACACGTTCATTTAATTTGACATTTTATTTACATCATAAACTCAACACAGATCGGCCAAAATAATAAATATTACACATTGGGAACAAAATCTGCTGATTCCAATCTTGGCTAATTTCATTTAATACACACTCCACTTTTGCCCTTCCATTTTCATCTCCAATGTATTTGTCCATATGACAAATGTGATATGCCACCTTATTTGAAATTGGCCACTTTTACATATAGGACAGTCACATGAACATATACAAGCATGTATGTGTAACACATTTAACAATATATGATAATGTTTATCATAGACAGCGTATGTTACTCATATGCTAGCTTCATGTGTGTTATTTATTTATTTTATTTTATTTATTTATTTATTTATTTATTTATTTATTTATTTTTTTGCTTTAAAAAATCTATGTGTGTATGTGTATGTATGTATGTATGTATGTGTATGTGTGTATATATATATATATATATATATATATATATATATATATATATATATATATATATATATATATGCGCCTGACTTTTATCATAAAGTTAATATATGGCTATATCATTATTTCCATCAGCTGTTCTCTCGCTCCATATTTGCTACATTTTGATGGGTTAACTGAAGTTCAAATACACAAAGTTACAGGTCTTTTTTTACAGAAACGTTCACTTTTCTATCTCCCCATAGGAGTCACTGGTGTTACTGATCCTCACTGACGTTACAAAAAGGTAACACCAGAGACAGTTTTAATAAAAAAAAATGCATTTTATAAAATGTCTGCTACAGAGCATCAAACCATGTGTTGTCAATTCTGGAATATCCATTAAAATATGAAATATTATTTTTATATATATACACACACACACACACACACACAATTTTTTTTCCCCCAATTACCCAAGAATAAAGTCGGTCACACCAGTGACGTCAGCAAAAGCTTCATATGAAATCATGAGCTAAATGAGAAAATCTCTGATAACTGAAAGACTCAGTGGACTCACCATGAGCTTTTCTTCATAGATCCTCAGAAAACAGGTAAAGGGAATTCAAGTGATGTCATCAGTGTGACTTTTATTTCAAAATAAGAGATTATACTTTTTTTTTTTTTTTTGTTACGCAGTAACACCAGTGACACGACTCCTGGAGACAACAACTTTCATTATATATTTTATAATATTTATTTGGCATTTGTCCTGTCATTTAAATAATTTCATAATCACGTGTAGGTTATTGCAGTTAAAACATGTTTTTTAACTGTATGGCTTATTTTATAACAGTAGTCTAACGCGATCCAGAGCCCCTCTCATCGTCTCACGTTTGTACGAAGCCCTGATGATGACATCCTGTATAAATAAAAATAATGCATGGGGACGAGATCCTAATGTGTGGCCATGACTTAGCAAGGCGCGGGAACGAGATCACGGCTTACTAAATCGTGGCCACGCATTATTTCTATTTATACAGAATGTCACCAGCGGGGCTCCGTACGTTTGGGCCCTCTTTCGAGAAGCTCTGCCCTCTTCATTCCGGCCTTAGTCCAGCAGATGTCATCAGTGTATCGAGGCGCTTATGTGGGATAATCTGACTAATAATAGTGACGCGTTATAGAAAATCTAAATGATGTTTTATGAGTTAAAGGTCAGTCTCTCTCTGTGCTGGACTCACGTTCATCCTCCGGGTCCATTCATTGAACAAATCTGCCCTAAATTATGAATTAGTGTTTGTTTTTTGAGGATATTCAGGAGTAAACAAGGCTAAGGCGCTAAATCTCAGGAACCTCAGCTGCTGCTGGTACTGGTGCTGGTGCTGGTGCTGGCTGAGGTTTGGGTCTCTCAGTGGGCCCCGGCCGCCAAGATGGCGCTGCCATCACTGTCTCCTCTCGCCTTTGGCTCTGGGTGGGGCTTCGCCAGCAGCTGGGCAGATCCCGCCGTGTCGGGTTTCTCCGGCGCAGTCTCATTTAAATCCGCCGGGGGAAGCTGGCAGCTTTATTAGGCTCGCACGTCGCCGTCGCTTCTTCTGCGCCGCCTTTGTCGTTTTCTCTGAGGACGGTGTGGACCGACGGTACCGGTACCTCCTCGGTTCGCCGTTAAAGCAGCGCTTGGCAGACAATACAGCGCGAGGCCGGCTCGCTGCGCGCCTGTTTGGATTCCTCCACAGCCGCCTCGGGCTTCCACGACCTGCCATGGTCGTTGTCACTGCGTACGAATAGCGTCTTCGGCCGTTGTTTTATGTGTTAGACTTCTGTCGTCTGTGGCTCAGATTCGGCTGAACGCGTTTGGTTTCTCGCTCGGCCTTCGAGCCCCGTCAGTGGAGGATGTCTGCGTAGTGTTTCGAATCTGAAATCGGCTCCACGCTTCGCCATTCAGCGCATTCACCCTCTCTCTGTCCGCCTGTTTGAAAAGGGGGCAACACTGTAACACAACTCGGTACAGGCTGTAAGGCTGTCTGCTCTCGACCTGCATCATGTTCAGCTGGCTGGGTACCGACGACAGGAGGAAAAGGGATCCTGAGGTGTTCCAGACCGTCAGCGAGGGACTCAAGAAGCTGTACAAAACCAAGCTGCTGCCTCTGGAAGAGCACTACAAATTCCACGAGTTTCACTCTCCGGCTCTGGAAGATGCAGACTTCGACAATAAGCCCATGGTTCTCCTGGTGGGCCAGTACTCCACCGGCAAAACCAGCTTCATACGGTATGTTACCTGGCTGTTTATTTATTATTTATTATTTATTCATGTTCTCTGTGTTAATCTCTGCACTGTCCACCAAAACTGTCTGACAGGCAGGGAGGTGCTCTGTTCTGGGGAAACTAACAGAGTCAGGATTGTTCAGTGGTGGTGATGGGAACCAGACGTCCAGCTCTAAAATCTCCCTCACATAAAGTTACGTTAAATGGTTATGATGTCTGAAACATTGTTTTATAGTCCAAAATGAAATTTCAATACATTTTAATTCATTCATGATGGAGGGGTGCATGGGGGGTGTTTAAGGCAAAATAATTTTTTTCCCCTTTAAATGCTCACATAGGTTCCTTATTTTTCCAGGTTGACCATTATTTTACCATCATTATGAACGTTACATAAAATAGTAAATAAAATGGCCACATTTGCACTGTAGACACTGGGACTCCTGGTTCCATTAAACACCACTGTGAAGAAAGCAGTCTTTAACTCTGCAGCTGAATCATTTCACATCAAACCAGTCTGAATGACTTTGTCTGAAGTTAGATGAGATAATCCTTTATTAGTCCCACAACCGGGAAATTCACAGTGCTCCAGCAGCAAAGTGAAACCAAGACACTCAAGAAAAGAGTAGCAAGAAGAGAATTAACAAGCAAGTAATTAACCTTGTTAATTACTTAAGGTTTTTACAGTTTGTTACTTTTTACTATATATGTGTGTGTGTGTGTGTGTGTGTGTGTGTGTGTGTGTGTGTAATATATATACATATAAACTAAAAGTAAAAATAAGAAAAATATTAACTCTATCCTTTACAAAAATGAGCAATATTAAGAATTATAAATAAACCCAAATTTCAGAGAATTGCACATGAGGTACTGATTTATTACACATGGGATGGTGAGGAGTTAACAATATAAACATTATGAATAATAAAAGCAAAAAAAAAAAAATGTATACATAAATTTTGAAAAATGGATGGAATTCCCCTTTAAGAGTGACAGAGTACACAACCTTTTATTTTCTATCATTTGCTTAATGAATTTGGTCACTTCTTCCTGCACCTGACCACACCCACTTACAAGTGCAGGCTAACACATGTTTGTGTTACATAGGCTAATAATCAGCACTGCCTATGATAAGCAGGCAGAGAACATAATGATATGTTATGGCAGGATTATATGATTCTTATTATGTGAGAATGAGTATAGGGTGAGCCTGAGAGCATCAGAATACATACACAGTGTGAGCCTGTGTCAGATACTATCAGATATTGTGGCGTTAGGCATGGATTGCTCTTTCTTAAAGAGCAGTTCCTCTGATGTTCAGATGTAAACAAGGTCATTCTGAGTAGGTTGATGTGAAATACTGTGTTTTAGAGAAATTTAGAGTCACAATTGTTTAAATAGTGATGTTGGAAACCGGACGCCCAAAGTGTTTAATGCCTCTGAAAGAAAGTTATTACACAAAATAGCTATGAATACACAGCTAAATGCCTGAGACAAATGTTTTGAGAAGGTTTTGACCTAAAACATTTTTAAAATGCATTAATGGTGACTAACAACATTAAACAAAACATCAACATTACTTAACCAATAAACCCACAGGTCTTAGTATGTTTGTCTATTGGTTAGACATTGCAACCCCTGGTTCCTATCACCACCACTGTAAGGAAATCAGATGGTAACTTTCTTAAAATTTCACATTAAAACAACCCTGAATGACTTTGTTTACATCTCAGCCAATGAATTCTATATCAGTTTTGAAAAATCAGTGGAGTTCTTCTCTAAGCAATGGCTTTTGGCCCTGTAGTCAGTTTGATTTTGGACTTCATGAGCAAAGGCAAGCTGTACCGTAGCTACCAGCTCTGGTAGAAGAGCATCTCCCTCCCCATGACCCCCCTGCTAAATCACTGTGTGGGCTCTTCCAGTGACAGAACCTGAGTGATTTAAACTCTAGGTCACCCCTGGTGGGAACGAAGAGCTGGAAAGCACGGAGTGTTACCAGGTTACAAGTGGAACTCCCCATGACTTTGACATCACTGTGGTTACGCACCGGTACCAGCTTTCAGAATGTAAGGCCGTTTAAAGGAAAGACACTAACCAGGCCATAAACAGAGAACATCATCTGTAAAGCTGGTCATCAAACAGGGAACACTCAGTTTAGTCTGTAGTTTTGCTGCTTTGCGTATCGGCAGATTGGACATTTCAGTTGGCCGGTGTTATTGATTAGTCTTGTTAATTAGTCCAAAATGTTTTGTCATGCTTTAGTAAGTACTAGCTGAAATAACAGAGTGTGAGTGGTTAGAGTTCCAGCTTCATGACTCTTCTCAATTACACTCGCTTTTCAAAAGGGAATCTCAAGCAGCAAACCAAGACTGGGATGGACTGCAGGAACAGAAGTGTTCCATTAACAGCTGGAATGTGCTTCTCTGTAATAATAATTTAGACCAGCCCTGCTTAAAATGTGAACACATCTTTCCAAACTGTTAAATATTATTTTTATTGTGGTCAGTTCCGCCTCTGCAGCGCCCCCTCTGGTTCAACTCTGCTATAGGCGCAGAGCCGAGAGCGAGGAGAGAAACGCACTTACGCGCTATAATACCTGCGATATGCCAGCTGTCTGTACCAACTGAAAATAACTCAGTTAATCTGAGCTTAGTTTGTAATAAAGATGTTGGACTGATTTAAGTGAGGATTCCTGTGAGTCTCCATGGCCGCTGGTGTTGCATCCAATTCACATTTCCCTTCACAACTCAAACTGTCGGGCACGACTCACTGAACAGAAATCACCAGGCAGCAACACTGGAACTATGGAGAGCGGGTAAGATTAACGTTAAATGGCCATTGTTACCGACTGCGTCAGCCTTTCGTCCGTACAGACTTTCTCGAACTTTTTTTCCGCTTTCCGTAGTTCCAGTACTGCTTACTGTTGATTTCTGTTCAGTGAGTGCGGCGCGAGGGTCCGGTTTATGAGGGGGAACGTGAATTTGAGTGGGAGCTGACTCGGATGTAACCCTGGAAAGTGCACTGAACAGTTTGCAGAACGTAAGGATTTAGGGCCACTGCAGCAAATCCTGGCTGACCAGTGATGCAGTCTGCGACCTTGATGTCAAACTGAATGAAACTTAGAGTTCAAAAAATGCACTTTATTCATTCCCTCCCATTTTTGAGTATTTCCCAAATTGAGCCGGGGTGGAGTTCGCTGAACATAGTGGGGTGTAGTTACTCTAAGGCTGAGTTTGTCAGTGGAAGGCTTGTTACTGAAGCCCTTTCGAGTTCGACCTCCTCATATATTTAACAGTGAGACGTGACTTGGACAGGAACGCATCAACAGCACTTAAAGGAACTATTATGTGAATTAGGGCTGGGCGATTAATCAAAGAAATCGAAACCGACATTCAGAACCTCTAACCGACGTAATGTTGCCCATGTCGGTTATTTAGATTTTTAAAAAAATTCTGTTAATCCTTTCTCCACTCTGTGTGTTCATGTACTGTCCCCTTAAATACTTACTACCGCGTGACTCCGCCATGTCCAGTCTGCAACATGGAAGCTAAGGCTACGTTCACACAGCAGGTAAAAGTGACCCAAATCTGATTTTTTTGTTTGGCTGTTCAGATTATCTTTTAAATGTGATCTGTATGGGTCATCAGTCTGAACAGATCAGCTCCTAAACTGAGCCGCATGTGCAAAAGAACAGAGCGTCACGCTGCTTCACGGCTCATCCAGAGGTAAACAATCACGACCGCCAACGAGCGCCAGTCGCTCCCGGAGGATCAGCTTCATCTTCACCAGCATCACAGGAGCCATCATGAAGCTTCACTGACTGACAGCTGGGCTCATCACCCAGAATGAGTTCGAGCTGTAAAAAGGGCGCGGTCACTTCTTTGGTTCGCGTCCTCGAATTCTTTAAACTCTGCTTTCAGACTTTTAACTGTTCTTTGATGCTGCAGCCTCGTTCTCCTGCGGCCGCGTTCGGACATTTCTTTAGAAGTCTCTTCAAACACGGAGGGTTTTGGATGAGTCTCTAATAATTTTAGTACAGAAATATCAGCCCAAATGTTTGAGTCTCAGCAGCGCTAAATTATGACGAATGTCGAGTTGGATTGACGTAAAAGTCGTGTGAATTCCGATCTGGCTGTTGAGACGATTTACATTAAGATATGCAGAGAATATTTACAGCAGAAACCTTGTCAGTGAACTATGAGGGCAAAAAAACAAACAAAAACAATAACAAAATAATCGTTTATTAATCGTAGTCGAGGTAAAATATTCAATTAATCGTGACATTGATCTGAGGTCATACCACCCAGCACTAATGTGAATCAATGGCACATAATCATTTCACTAAATGTGACTTTTTTTTGGAGAGAGTGTAGAGTGAAGAGGGTTCAGTCTTTCAGTCTGCTCTCAGGTGTGTGTGTGTGTGTGTGTGTGTGTGTGTGTGTGTGTGTGTGTGTGTGTGTGTGTGTTCGCCTGGCTCTTTTTCTCCATGTGCATTATTCATAGAGGACATGAAGGCCTCTGTGGCCACAGCCTCGTTCCTGCTGGCTGATCATAGAGCTCGAAAAACAGCTCAGCTCATCGCTCCATTCTTACCATTAGAGAGAAAGTCAGTGCAGAGCACTTCAAGGGAAATCTAGTAGTGTCCTACAGGAGTTAGTGTGATATTTATGTCTCTGCCCTGAAGCATTCGCAGGCTGCACCCACTATCATTGAACATTGACATGTCATAAATATCTGTAATACGTTACTTATTTATGTTTAAGACTTTAGTATCGTTCACATTTCCTGTATACATATGTACATTATCTTACATCACAGCTTACTGTTTGTTTTTCCTTTTTTTCTGGAAAGTTATCATTTTGGAGGCTTTGACAGTGACAAACTGTAGATATACAATTTTAGGCAACTGAGAAAATTAGATTTAAAAAGCTGTTTATCTGTGTAGTAAGTTTATTTGTGCACTTAAGTAACAAATATAGTTAATGTTAATGCAGTAAATCGTGATTTTATGTATGTTCCTGTGTTCATTTAACCATTTTCAAACCTCACCTTGTCAGCCTGGTATTGTTTATAGTTATAATCCAACACTTGGTTTGGCTAATCAGTCATTTATGTTAAATCTGGTGTGCCAGTGATGGAACTTAACTAGTGCATTTCCTGTCTTGGAGTCTTTCTCCACTCCAAGGCCTTTCAAACTAGCTCAAAAGAGATCAACTACTTTTTGAAAAAAGACATTTTTGTTTTTGTGGTTATTTACCTTTATTCTAATGATATGTGGCATTTTTAATTTTATTTTTTTTATTGCCCAGAAAAAGGAGTTAAAATAATGAGACTTTTGCACACTACTGTATATGTACATATGCGTGACCTTGGCTAGTGCACAGGACACCCAGAGTGTCCTGTAATAATTACCTTGTCATTTGAACTTGTGTGTTGTAATTGTGAATATAGTCACATGACTCTCGCACTTCCTTCTCAATAGCTCAGTGTTGTGAAGAGTAAACAGTGCTGGCAGACATTCACCACTGCATGTGAAATGGCACTTAATGGGAACTTCAGCTACTGTTGGAATTTATTTATAAGAGATGGATGGACTTCCTGGAGGTAGAAGTGGTGAATGTCTATATTAGGATTTACTGTATTATAAAGTTACTGAGCCCTGCGATGGACTGGCGACCTGTCCAGGGTGTATCCTGCCTTCCGCCCAATGACAGCTGGGATAGGCTCCAGCACCCCACCGCGACCCAGAAGGATAAGCGGTTTAGAGGATGGATGGATGGATGGATGGAGTTACTGAGAGTTGCAGTTAAAAATGATAAAAATTGCAAATAATAAATAAAACCTAGAAGAGACCGATTTAGCATTTTACATTTTTAGGTCAACTCGATTCTCTCGATGGATAATTAAGTCTTCATTGAATTCCTGATAATGAATTCAATGAATGAGTGTGTGATGATGTATTATAATAAAGGATCATGTCAAATATTGTTAGTTTACATTTCTTTGTAAAAGCACTAAAACTGATACACACCAGTGTGTTTCCCTCCACAGATACCTCCTGGAGCAGGACTTCCCAGGCATGCGGATCGGTCCAGAGCCCACCACGGACTCCTTCATAGCCGTGATGCATGGAGACATAGAGGGGCTTATACCAGGGAACGCTCTGGTGGTAGATCCTAAGAAGCCTTTTCGGAAGCTCAACGCATTCGGCAATGCTTTCCTCAACAGGTCAGTTTCCTTTTAAATTAAAGAATAAATTTCAACAGTACAATCTCTGGATTTATATTGGAAGATATTTTACCATAATTTCAATCGAAAGACTTTCATATAACACATCATAACGTCGAGCAAGGAGAATGTGTTCTCAAATGAAAGTGTTGCATTACAATGATGTGACAGAAGCCTTAAAAGGACACAGATTTGCATGTGTTTTTTGTGTTATTTGCATTTTGAGTTATTTATATAGTTGTCACAACATAACAAATGTGGTTTTCTGGAGATCTTGAGATATGTATGGTATTTGAGATTTATGGTATTCATGTGATATTTATTAAGATCATGGTATAACTGAAAAGTTTGATTTTGTTGTGTAAAGTTGCTGCACACAAATAAAAAATATTACATTGACACATTTTGCTTTCTTTAGGTTTACTTGTTTTGACAATTATTCTGTTCATGCAATACATTTAATTCATTTATAAGCGCTTGACACATTTTATTTATTTCACTGCAAAGCACCTTTTTCAGCGTAAAATGTCCATAAATTCTGGTAATGACTCCTGGCCACACTTGGCAGCGTTCTGGTCAGCAGCATATTTTTAAATATGTCGGTTTATCTTATCGCTGCTGTCGGAACAAAACCTTGTATCTCAAAAATGTGAGTCAATGGAACCTGATTTTTTCCCAAGTAATTTTGGGCTGTTTGTAATCCTTAACCCTTAAGATCTAAACTCCAGGTTTATTATTCAGTTATTAAATTTATGACTTAGGAAATGAAGATGTATGTCCATATATGTCCTTGGAGTGCAGCAGGTTAAGCAATTATCTTCTCATACCAATGTAATTCAGACATCGTTAGCAAAGCGGCAAAGGTTTAGATCAATGGGGTGGACGTTGATAATGTGTGCCTCGTTAAGCCGGGGTTACACTACACGACTTTTACCCTGATTTTAGCCTGGAATCTCAGGAAATCTCTCAGTCTCTTGCGTGTGGAGCAAAGCTTTTTAATAAACTGAGTTTAAGGTACAATCGAGTTTATGTACATTTAAACCTCTAAAAAATACCAAATTTAATCACATTTTAAAATCCATGATCCTCACTTAAACATGTTTTTACCTGCTGCTTCTTTGCTGTTTCAGCGCAAATGGCAGAGAAAACAGCAGCAGCAGCTCCACGTTTGTTTATTTGCGTCTCCTAATAACAGGAGAACGAGAGTTTGCTCGAGTTCAGTGAGTTCTGTTCGGTTCAGCAGCACCTGAAGAGTTGAGTAGGGTGTGATCCCCAATATTTCAGTCACCCAAAAAAATCTTTTTAAACCCTGAACAGGTTATGAAGGCGTGTAGTGACCCAAGGCTTTAGCTGACGCATCTTTACCAAAGTAGCCCTTGTATGTTACAAGATGAAAAGCTATAGACTCCTCTATTGCAGATGTTCATAGTGAGACATGTTCTGTCACTCTGCTGTGGAACATCTGAACCTTTAGTGGGTCTGTGTTTCTCCAGTTCTGGGTGATCTCAGGGCACTCAGCTCATGACTCCACAGCCTGGTGCTTCAGCTCTACATTCCTCCTCTGATTGAATTTCCTTGCCTGGACGATTGGAGGTCTCCTCCTGACCATCAGCAAGTCTGGATACATCACATGATCTCCTGCAGGCTCTGTGACCAGCACTATGCTGTTAAGCGTACTGACTTATTGGGCACTGGAAACGATCTCATTCATACACTATGTAAAAAGAGCAAGAGCTGTTCTGAGGCAGCACCATAAAGCTAAGATCATACTAACAGGTACTGGGGGAGTTCAGAGCACTCTCTCATTTCATAATAGCCTTCATGCTCCAACTTATTTGGGGACACTCACCCCAAAAATGTTCTCTGTTTTGAGGCTAGAGCTGTAGCCGTGTGAAGAACGTCCCTCAGGTTGTGACGGCTGATTATTTTTGCAGGTGGTGTCTCGCAGCACTTAGCACTCGAGCTATTTGAAGGGGCTGAGAACTTGGCATGGGGCGTTGTTTGTTGTGCAGAAAGGCGGTCTAGCAGGAGGACTTGGGAACATGACATTGGCTCCCTGCGTGCGTCGCTGCAGACAGATGTTTGGCTGAACACAGTCATGATGAACTTGAACTTTTGACCCTTTTTCTGACCAAAAAAAAACCATGTTCATGAGCTTTTGGGAAAGACTTCTCTAGACATTTGCACATAACAGAGCTTTAATCTGTCAAGCGAATGAATGGTTTGTCAGCGTGTTTATAATCTGAAATGTTTGGGAAATTTAGACGACTGGCCTGGTTTTTATATGTATTTATAGACATGCACGTCATTTCTGACTCTACAAATAGTCACAGCTGCAGCCATTGCAATGCTGCCTGCTAGATATGCTTTCTCTCTCTGTCTCTCTGTCTCATAAATGACACTTGGTAACAAAAGGAGTGTTATATGTAAAGTTATGTGCAGGGAAATTGGTTAGAAGTAGTACAATAGAGCTCTATTGGTTCTATTGGTTTGCTGATCAGTTGTTCTCTGTGCGGCTGTTTAGCAGAGTGTTTAAAATCAGGTCAGACATTGAGCTCTTTCTTATTTAATAGAAGTTCCATTTTATTAGTGCATTCATTTATATGTATAGAGAATATCAAAAGCAGGTTTTACAACATAGGTGACCTCAGGGTAAGATACCTTAGGTGCAGCATAAATCACCAGACCTGAGTGACAGTACGGCTGTGAGGTGATGTGGCCGTTATTATGCGAGTTCGTTGTATGTGGAGTATCTTTAAAGAACTTCCCAAGATACTCCAACCCACATTTATGCTAACTGTACACTAGAAGACTTTGAATAGACTTTTGAAAGACTAAAGTCTGACACCCTCTCACATCTAAAGACATGTCACACTTTTTAGTCACAGACTATGATTTTTCAAAGACTGGGGATCTTGTGGTGTCAGTATTTGCCAGACTGCAACTAGATTTTTGAGATTATTTCCCATCATGCACCTGGTGGAAATTTACTTTTTCCTTCCACTCTATAGTGGTACAGATGAGAAGATACGTTGGCTGAGCATGTAAAGCTCTGAGGCTCAGCCCAGTTCACTGTAGAGCTGTATAGTCTGGCAGATCATCACCCAGATTTTTTAAATTAACCTGTAAAATGTGCAGCTACTTTTATAATTTGACACAAAGATTTAAACATCAACAAAACATGCAGTGATTCAGCATTGTTGATTTGGTGTATTGAACTAAACCATAAAAACAAAATAAAAAAGCGGTGTAGCATTAAGAAAAAAAAAAATATGCTTCTTAAAATCATCTGCACATTTCCATATGTTACTGTTTCGCTCAGTGAACTTGAAATATTAAAACAGCCAGTTTTCATTTTAATGTTAATGATTTGTTGTGTTAAAGTGGAGCAGATATGCCTTTGTAAAGAGATTTGAGGCTCTCACACATGCATTTTCTCCCTTGCTTGCCCTCGCCCGCTCGCTCTCACGTCGCCCCGGCACGTCATTATTTGCCTGAGCCGAGGCTTAAAACTTACTTAAGCAATAGAGCCCGAGAGGGAGTGTGTTATCACAAAATAACATCACTGTGATTTGGTCGCCATAGATCATCAACACTCCTCGAGTGTTCTATTGCTTTACTACAACAGTTAAATAAATAAATTAATAAACTGGGCCGTGAACGCGACGTTTAATATGTTTTAATGTTCGCAGTTCCTTCACCAAATTATAGTTCCTTAACGAGCAGCTTGTTGCTACGTCAGAGTAACGAGCTCCGCCCACTCGCTGCACAGTCTGCTGTAAGCCTCGCCTTTTGAAGTTCAGACTGAGCTATAAAACTGCCGCAATATCAAGTTCAGCTCAGTTTTGTCAGTTTCTGCCAGATCAGTATTAATGTTGTTTTGTTCCAGCCAGTCTGTAAAGCATCTTACAGCCCATTTAGTTTGGCGAATGGTGTTGGGTTCATTTCTGGCTGATTCCAGGTTGTTTAGCTGTTCTTCTGTCACAGCTGCCGACTGAAAAGCTGCTCAGTGGTGATGACAGTTTTATATAAGTTTAAGATGTGTGGTAATCATATCTGTCAGTGAAGAACTGTTCAACCAAAATTATTTCAATATAAGATTCAACTCTAAAATTGATATCATCCACAAAATTTCTCATGTAGAAAACTGAAAGAAAAAAGTGGAAGTCTTCCTAAATATGCACACAAATAAACGCCATCAAACTCAACGTCACTGCCTGTGTACAGTCTGTGTACAGTCTGTGACAATGTCATACACTTCAGTCATCGGCAGAATCTTATAGCTTTCAAGCTGTTCTGTGTCTAGCAGTTGAGAAGCAGCCAAGGGAAGATTAATGAGATGTTATTGTTAAGTTTGTCTAACCAGTGTTCTGCAGGGATTTACTCTGTGTTGCGTATTCAATCGGGTCTAGTTCAGACACTGTAAACCACTCAACCCCACTTTACTTCTTTGTTCTGAAAGTCTGCTTCCAATATTTCTCCCATAATAAAGATGTAAAATTTCTTTTTATTTATTCTCTAATCTTGCATTGAAACTGATACCGTTTCTGACATCTTACATCATGTTTATACTCTGCCTGTATATCTAATCTATTGAAATGTATATAATGATGTAATGTGCGTGTTTGTCCTGTAGGTTTGTGTGTGCTCAGCTGCCGAACCCTGTTCTGGAGAGCATCAGCGTGATTGACACTCCAGGAATCCTGTCTGGAGAGAAGCAGAGGATCAGCAGAGGTAACACACACACACACACACACACACACACACACACACACACACACACACACACAAAAAACATATCATTTAAAGGTAGAGCTGGGCGATATGGCCAAAAACGTTATCACGATAAACAAAATTCATATCGTTCGATATCGATACATATCGCGATAAATGTCAAATCATGATTTCTTTCACGTTTGAAGGCTGATTTTGCTCCTGGGGGGTTAACTGTGGTTTTAAACTATCACTTATGGTCCGATCAGGACAAACACTCGGCAATCAGTGGAACATTTCACTAATCTGTCTTGGGACAGTGGGAGAAAGTGTCTGAGCTGTTTTATCAGCTGGAAAAGCACAGCTGTAATTTTTGTAATAGTCATGATTTAAGAAAGAAAGCAGATTATTTTAGCTGTCTGGTGTCGAGCGCTCGGCTACCCCATTACAAACGCTAAACAAGTGGCCAACAACAGCGCTAAACTCTTTAGTTTCTCAACAACGTCAACTCGGTTCGGTAGGTCACTGCGGTCACTCCTACCACATCCATGTCAGAGCAGATCACAGTATTCAGACACCAGCTAGACGGCTGGGTTTCTCTATGCTACTGTAGTAGTTTAAGGGGTGAACCGCAGTATATCTGACGCTCGCTGTGTAAAAGCATTATCTGCAGTGTGAATCTCTCACACCAGTCACAGAGTCCTCCTTTTAGGCACGTTTAAACTGAAAGTGGTGATTTTGTCTTGTTTGATCTACAGTATCATCAATTCACCGTGTTGTGCCGGAGCGCTGATTCAATTAGCCAGCAGCTAAAAACAGCTAGCCTGGAAAGCTAGCGCTCTCCCGCTCTCCAACGCCTCACAGCTTCCTCAGTTTACTTTTGAACATGAACCACTTCTTTCTTTCACTTTCGTTGCTCGAGAATGCACTAATACTAAAATATGGCAGTTTGGCGCTGTAACACGGCGCTGCAGACGTGATTTAACACCGCTAAAGTTGTTAGGATGCATGGAAATAAGTGAGTTCACCGTAGGACAGTACAGTTACACCACTGACCTCGTCACTCACACTGTAAGACAGGAGAGCAGATCGCCGGTCGCTCCACTCAAACAGGGACTGTATAACTTCTCGTTTCAGCCGTTGCTAAAGTAGGTTATATTTGGCGACTCTTTCTTTACTCGTGGCCCCCTCCCTTTTTAATCAAGTCAAAAAACTCGGAAGTGCGCCCTCTCCTGGCAACAGCAGAGTAGTGTCGCTTTTCTTGCAGTAGAAAATGCCACCAGGGCTTTCGCTAAAACGTGGAAGTGTGAGAGTGGTGTATTATATCGAACATTTATCGAACCTGTCTTATCGCTCTATCGAGGAAAAGTTATATCGCGATACTTATCGTTATCGTTTTATCGCCCAGCCCTATTTAAAGGGCATACTCACCTAAAACTAGCATTTAATTGGTTCTTTTTCATGTCATGTAATATGTACTGTGTTTTATTTCATTTTTGTGTTTTTGTCCATCAGTTTTCCCTCACATTACAAACATATGGTGGTTATGGTGGCTTCCTAACAGCACTGACTTAGATCCTAGCAAGTGAGGAGGAGGGGAAAGACATTTTAAACAGCCCTCTAGTATTTGTCCCAAAGTTTTTCAAAAGATCTTCCCACAATATACGTCACCAGAAGGGGGTTTAAACCAGACAGTCTCACTTTAGAGTCTAATGCTTTGGTGTTGTAGGAGGCGAGTAGGCATGTTGACAACAGATGTGGCAATGGTCAAATTTTTTATTTGGGCTGGAGTGTTCCTTTAATCATAATTGCGATATTTGCCTTTTGCAGTACTACTGTATGCAACAGTGCCCTTTAACCAGTCTCAGTGTTTTTTGCTGTGTTTCTATGAATCAAGCTTTTCATGTAATCTAACAAAAATAACTTACTTTGGTCACAAGAGTTCAGGTCAGTCTTTAGTCATGTTAGTAATCCGCCAAAATGTGTTAATATATTGCAGGGTATGTAATATGCAGTTGTATAATCACAATACTAGTATTTTGTCCATATCTATATGCCATAGTGTGTCATTGTACTGTTATCTCCATCTACTGTAAATCCTGTCTTTGCGCAGTTTTAAGGGACCAAGTCTTTATGACCGAAGTATAAATTCTGTTATTTTTGATCATGATAGACTTAGGCTAAAATATATGGATGTGCTGTTTTTTTCATTTCATTCAGCCATTATTAGGGTCACAGTCATCTTTGGTGCCAGCATTCTTCTAGTTTTCAGAGTTTGACTAAGCAGAAGAGAGAGAGTTTTGAAAAGAAGCATTTCCCTTTGCAGGCTGGAGAAAGAAGGCATCTGTTTTGAATCCACATGGAAAAATCTCAATATTGTGATGTTTTTACAGCTTTGTAATATTAGAGAAGTTCATAGTAAGAAAAATTCACATGAGAGGGATTTTGAAGACTATTTGAAGAGCAACTAGGTCTTCCTCCCTGTGGCATGGAATGGAGGATATTGGTCTGTCGTTATGGAAATGAAGGAACTATGTTGAACATATCTGGGACAGTAAACGGTCTGATACGCTGTTTGCTGTTGCAAAGAAGCTTACAGTGAGACTAAAATATGTATGTACATGTATTATAATTTTCAGAATGCACCAGTCGTCCACACAAGCTAGAAATCACACTAGTAAACTAGCTACCTCAGCAGGTAACCTGTGAGCTCCATATGATTAAAATTATGCCTTCCTACTCAAACCAACTTCATCCAGTTAAAAAGTCTTCCCTCCAGATCTTCACTGTCAGCAGTTCTGTAGAAAACCCTAATGTAGGTAAAATATATGGATTCAAGGAAGAGCAAGAGAGCTGAAAGCTGTGTATGCCATTCATGACTATGGCCAGTCTTCGATTGCCTGATTGGCTAAATGCAGTTCAGGGGCCACATTCATCTGCATAATGTATAAATCTGCTGAACTTTTTCACCACGCAGTGCCTCAGATTCCACTGCGACGCGGCAGAGCTTTCCAGTGAAATGAACAGGATGTGAGGAGGCGAAGTGGACACAGCGTCAGGAATGAACTTGTTATAGTAGAAGAACAAAGGCTCCTAAAAGTTGACGTACTCTTCTCCGAAGTGGAACAAAGCTCAAACATGTTTTTGTAGAAATTTAAGATCTCTAGTTTGTAAAATGGGTGGTTGTATAAAAGTATTTTACTGCAAAAGTTGTGTAATTCATTGGACGCTCCCCAAAACTGGAAAATGTGCAAATGTAGGCCTGGCTTTAAGGGAGTGTCTGCATTGTGCCTTATATCTTATAAAATGAAAATCAGAGTCACTGACTTTAGATTCACAGTGTTCAACCGTATCGTCACTGTCTAACGAAAAATAGTAATTTTAGAGAAGAGGGCAAAAACGCTCTTACCTTTCAGGGTGAGTTAATGTAAACAGGTTTCATTCCAAGTGATTTTGGAGCATTTCTATTGGTCCAGTCATCATGAAATGTTCACACAACGTAAAGTACAGCTGGTGTGTTGAAATGATATAGAAAAATAAAAATCGACTAAAATGGAGATACATGGTTTTCTTTGGACAGTGACAATGTACTTTATGGCATAAATAAAAGATGACTTAATATCTCTAATATCTCAATATCTAGAGTTAGGAACCGTCTACAAATTACCAGAAGAAAAGTATTTGTTGTTGTTATTATTATTATAATAATAATAATAATAATAAGTAGTAGTAGTGTTAGCAGTATCTTTGGCTCTTATTCATCAAAATTGTGAAAAAAGAGCCACTTAAAACGAAGATATATTTAAAATTCTGCATTACTCCTAAATCACAAAGTCAAATTAAAGCAAATTTTGGAAATTCACCATTTTTAAACCTTTAGTCCTTCCTTTGCAACATGTTCAGACCCACTCTCAGGTTGGTTTAATCTACTCATCAGAGGCTTTTGCACCAGCTTATCGAGCTGGAGATGTTTATCTTTTTACATGAGCATCCAGTCAATGTCAAGGTTTTACCTTCTCCTGTGAAGTTACTTTATGCAGGTACAAGGTTTTGTTCTAACAGTGAGTAGTTTTTAAAATGCAGAAAATTAATAAAACAAAAAAGTTAGCTATCAGTTATTGATATCAGCCCAGAACCTCCATAATGGCATGTCCCTGTAATGCAAATCACTGAACGGTGGTCACACCCCCCCCCATCCACATGCCCACAAGATCATGTTTGTTTAGCGCATGGTTACTTCATCCCTCATTCAGCAAAGTCCATTAGAATAGGGGCAGCCCAGAGTAATCGCGCTGGCTGCCCGGCGTCAGCACTTTCCTTTTGGCCCTGCTGCACCAGCTGAACTGAAGCAGCCCAGGGATTAGACCCACTCATGTTTTGCGTCTCATTAAAGTGAGTTCCACTCGTTTGTGTATGTAAGTGCAAATTACACATAAGGCTAAAGCTACATCAGCCAGTGACCACACATGTTTTCTTTAAGTTTAATATCTCTGATTTAATGCTGACAAATTGTCTTATGATAAGCAGGTGAAAAATGTTGACTTATCTACTCTGTAAACCTAAACTACACCTCCATGTTATCTAAGTATCGGCAAAGAGAAGAGCTGTTCATCATGACTCACTAGTCCCCTGTCTGTGCCAAGAGTAACATAAACAAAGTCCAAATACCTCAGGGGACAGAGAGAGAGGAGAGAGAGCGCATGTGCCTTTAAACTAAAGCAGTAAAATTTGACAGTAAAAACAGACGTTTTGCCACTTCAGCACAGGAGCAACTTGAAAATCTCAGATGTTTTGCATGAGAAGCTCACACTGTCAGTCCTGTTCTGTCATTCCTACAGCATGACAGGAACGACGGATTTCAACAAGAAAGACAGAGATACGCAGCCGTTGTGCTTTTTATTGTCATGACTCTCGCTCTGCTGTATCTGCACGTTAAAGGGTTGTAGCACATAGGAGTTATACAGGGAGATTCACTCGAAAGAGGCCCCGAATATTCTGCTGTAACTCCTGTTAGGATGAAG